CCCCCCCTTCGCCCATGGAAGGTCCTGGTGACACCATGGTGGCAGGTGGGCAGGGGGCACGGGGGGGAAGCCACCACTGTGCCACTTGCCAGTGGCACCTGTGGGGACCCTAGGGGTTGGAACAGCTGGGCAGGGGGGACGGGACAGCTGGGGATGGTCCCCCATGGTCCCCCGTGGTGGTCACCATCCCCAGGATGGGTGAGAGTCCCAAGGACACGAGGGCGAGCGGTGGCAGAGCACACGCGTGCCCCCCCTCCCACCCCGCTGCCAGCTCCACACAGACCCCCACGTGGGGCTACCCGGGGTCCCTGGTGCCCCCAGGGGGGAGGAGATGGGACATTAGGGACACCCAGCACCCCAGGACACTGGGTAGGGTGGGGACAATGGCATCTCCTGCCCACTCACGTGCATCCCTGCAGGCTGGTGCACAGGCATCCTCATCTTCATCCTCATCCTCCCCTCCAAACCAGAGAAACACTCCCCAGCCTCACCTAATTAATGAGGCCCCTCCCCTCATTAACAGAGTGCTTAATTCTTCCATCTCCAGGCTCTGCCCCTGTTCCCCAGGCTTGGGGCCACCAGCTGGAGCCTTCCCATCCCACCCCACCCCATCCCACTCCATCCCTTCCCTTTTGGGATGGGGTTTGGTTCCCCCCACCTTCAAACACACTTTGCCCGTGGTGGTGGGCAGATGCCGATTAATGAGGCCCCTCCCCTCATTAACAGTCTTCCATCTCCAGGCTCTGCCCCTGTTCTCCAGGCTTGGGGCCACCAGCTGGAGCATTCCCATCCCATCCCACTCCATCCCACTCCATCCCTTCCCTTTTGGGATGGGGTTTGGTTCCCCCCACCTTCAAACACACTTTGCCCGTGGTGGTGGGCAGATGCCACCACCTTGTCCTTGTCACCATCTGGACAACAAACCCGCCCCAACACCAGCCGAGGCTTTTCCTCCAGGCACCCCGATTTTTGGGCCCCGGTGAGGTCAGGAAGGGAGTGACATCACCCCATCACCCCGGAGTGACATCGTGCCACATGAGATGATGCAATGGTGGAGATGCCACCCCTCTGCCCACCCTGGGTCACCCCACTGTCCTCCTGACACCGGCCAAGGGACGGGTTGGCTTTTCCTCCAGGCACCCCAATTTTTGGGCTCTGGTGAGGTCAGGAAGGGGGTGACATCACCCCCATCACCCCGGAGTGACATCGTGCCACATGAGATGATGCAATGGTGGAGATGCCACCCCTCTGCCCACCCTGGGTCACCCCACTGTCCTCCTCTCCAGCTCCAGGTTCCCAAGCTGGTGCTGCTGGTCCTCCCCATCCCACGGCTGCATCCGGAGGTTCCTCTCCCCAAATTCGGGTCAGTGAAGGGGCAGGTTTGGGACAGGGAGGGGTGACACCCAGCATGTCCCCGTCCCCAGGTCCCAAGCCCTCCAGCTGCCTCGGGATGCCCTCAGCATCCAAAGGACCCAGTGTGGGGCAACAGAGACATTGAGGCCACGTGTGGGGTGGGGAGAAGGTCAGGGTAAGAAAAACAGGGTTTCCCTTTCCCCAACAGGAGCTTTTTGCCGGGTTTAATGAGCAGGGAAGAGAAAACACAAACACTTAATAAGGCTTTTTTTTTTTCTTTTATAAATTAAACTCCTATTTACTAAAAATGGCATTAAAACCCACAGAAATGTGAGTTTTCATTTCTTTTTCTTTTTTCCCCCCCATTAAAACTCCCCGTTTTTCCCCATTCTCTGCCTGCTTCCCACCCCCTACCTGGCCCCCTTTTCGGCTGGGATGGTGGCCTTTGCTCCCCAGCCCTCTCTCCTCCTCTTCCTCGGGGCTCGGGGGGGGCAGCAGGATGAGTCCCGGCCACCCCGGGGCTGAGCTTCCCCACCGGCCGCGATGCTTAATGCCAGGAAGGAATTTTAAGTCGCTCCATCGGACTGTAAATATTTGGGCTACGGCTGACACGGAAAATTTAAGTGCTTTGAGAGGGAGAAAAAAAAAAATAATCCACCCGGGCCGAGGCAGAGGGGGATGGATGGCTCGGGTGCTCCTCACCCCCTTGGGGACACTGCCATGGGGGTGTCCCAGCTCCCACCCCATCCTCTTGCCCATGACAAAGACCTGCCTGCTTGAGGGCACCAGCCCCCCGTTGCCCCCCTGGGGATTCCCCGCTTTCCCAAAGCAGATGGTGGGGCTGGTGGACCTGCTGGAGGTGGCCAAACCTTTTGTCTTGTCACTGGGCTCCACTGGGAAGATTCTGGCTCCATCCTCTTCCTCATCAGGTACTTCTAGCCATGGTGAGACTCCCCCCGAGCCTTCTCTGCTCCCCACCTCCCTCAGCCTTTCCTCCTTGGAGAGATGCTCCACTCTCTTCATCTTCTTCACGGTCTTTAGTTGGACTTTCTCCAGTCTGCCCATGTCCCTTTTGGACTGGGGAGCCCAGCACTGGACCCAGCGCTCCAGGTGTGGCCTCACATTTTGGACCCAGTGCTTCAGGTGTGGCCTCACCAGCACTAAGCAGAGGAGAAGGGTCCACTCCCTCGAACTACTGGCAATGCTTTGCCTAATGAATCTCAGGAGGTCACCCTGAGATTCAGTCTCTTTGCAGCAGGGACATGTTGCTGGCTCATGGTCAACCTGGTGTCCATCAGGTCCTCTTCTGCTGAGGTGTTTTCCAGTTGGGTGGCCACTGCTGCATGGGGTTGTTCCTCCTCAAGGACAGGACTTTGCACTTCTCCTCGTCGAATCATAGAATCATTTAGGTTGGCAGGACCTTTGAGATCATTGAGACCAACCATCAACCCACCACTGACAAACCCACCACTGACCCATGTCCCTCAGCACCACGTCTGCCCGGCTTTGAAATCCCTCCAGGGATGGGGACTCCACCACTGCCCTGGGCAGCCTCTGCCAAGGCTTCACAGCCCTTTCCATGAAGAAATTCTTCCCAATCTCCATCCTAAACCTCCCCTGGTGCAGCTTGAGGCTGTTTCCTCTTGTCCCATCTCCTGTTCCTTGGGAGAAGAGAACAACCTCTCCTTAAATAAGGTCTCCCCTCAGCCTCCTTTCTCCAGGCTGAACACCCCCAGCTCCCTCAGCTGCTCCTCACAAGACTTGCACTCTAAAATTCATGATTTTCCCCTCTGAGCACTCCTCCATCCTCTCCAGGTCCCTCTGGAAAGCAGCAGGTCCCTCTGGCACCTCCAGCACTTCCAGCCCTGTGTCACCAGCAGCCTCCCATCAGGTCCACCCCAACCCATCACCGTTTTTGTCCCCAGCTGCTCTGGTGCTAGGGGGATTGTGCAGTGCTGGGTGAAAACCCAACTGCGTGTGGTGGGATGGGAGCCTGGAGGACCAGTTACACCCTGGGAATGGCTGTACTGGACCAGACCAAAGCTCCAGTGAGCTCAGCATCACGGATTCCTGATGCTCGGATGAGCTGCTCTCTCCATCATCTCCGAGACAGATCTGCTCTTTGCAGGCTCAGCGTTATTAGATTAGGTGGTGGCTCTTGCCTGGGCTTGGAGGGAGAAGGTTTTATCCACTTAAAGACAGGAGAGCAGTCCAGAGCTCAGCTGGTGGCTCCAGCCATGGAGGTGGCACGTCCCCGTCCATCCTGGTGCACCCTGGCCATCAGCAATGCCCAAATCTCCTTGAAGGTTTGGACCCAGATGCTCAAACACCCTTTGAGGCACCCTCAGCTGTCCCCTTTGTGCATCTCCTGCCTGTGCCTCAGTTTCCCCACGCAGGGTGAGATGGGGGGGCTCATCCCTGTCCCCCCTTGGGTCACACAGCAGATGGCAACTGCTTGCAATCTTTGGATGCTTCCTGGAAGTTGGATGGAGCAGGGGGACGTCTCCAGCCTGTGCCATGGACACGCTGCTGTGGGCAGGAGGAGGAGGGATAGGGCTCTGCTGGGGCTTGGGGGGGCTCCTGGGGGCGGGGGGAAACCACTGTGGGGCTTGGTGATGGTGGGATGGGAGAGGTGGCCCCAGGTTCTTCACCTTCTGAGCCTCAACAGAGCTCAAAGCCGAGCTTCTCTTTTCCCCTTCTCCCTCCTCCTCGAGAAAAATCAGGAGACAGGCTTATCCCGAGGCAATTCCCCCACTTCCCACCCCCCGGGGAACAAAGGGGGAAAGGATGAAGGGGGGAAAAAAGGGGG